GCTGATTAGTAGTCATTAGTTGTTTCAACGTGCAGATTGTAATAACCTAAGTTGTTTTCATATGCAGATCAGTAACTACTACAGTTTTGGTTCGCGCATATTAGATTACATAATTCATACGCAACCCACGATTTTGGTACAGGGCGACAGTACCTATGATCCCTACTACCGAAAACGTATTTGGTTGTTGTAACTATAAAAATAAAGACATTTGGAATCTATCTTCGCTGTCATGTGATATGCTAGACAGTGCACTAAATTGCGTCTTTTGTGTTTACGCAAATAACACTTTTTCACAGTTATCAGCAATAGGCTAAGGAGTGTGTGCATTTCTCATTTTCGTCGGATTGTCGTGGTAAACGTCGCGACTTTAAAGTGGAAGTCAAGCCAAACACCACAATGACCCCCCAAGAAAAAGCTCCACTAATGTAGGAGAATGAAATTTACAGTTTTTTTATATCACCTTTCATTCTCTATCAGTATTATGTTGTCAGCCATCTTGATTCCCAAGCAAAGGATTATGAGTAAAGTATGACATCATGAAAAATTGAATATCTAGAGAATGAGAAGTGATATAAAAAAAATTGTAAATTGCATATTCTTACATTTGCGGAGCTCTTTCATCGAGGAGTATTATGTTGTTAGCCTTGACTTTCCCTTTAATCGGCCAAGACGCCGTTAGGAATCTTATGAATGTCAAGAGGCCAACGGTCAATGTCGTTGAAACTGTACTTGGTAGCCAAAGGTAAAGAGAGTTATGTCACTCAATTTCACGACCCATTGTTTCATTGGGGGTAATGATATGCCGCATTCTTGAGTGGCACTTAGTCAAGGATCTGAGCGCGATAAAAGGGCGAAATAACGTTAAAATGGAACAGCCAACGATCGATCGTAGGTAGATAATATATTACGAGAGCCATTCTTTTGACTTACGTGTCACATTACTGTAAATTATTTCGATAAATCATCAACGAATTTATCAAGGTAGTAAAACAATTACGACCGTCCCTGGGTGGGCTCGAACCACCAACCTTTCGGTTAACAGCCGAACGCGCTAACCGATTGCGCCACAGAGACAACTACATTCCCTGTACATTTAAAAAGTGGTAAAACTGCTATTAAGATTATTTTAATTTGTTGCTTATATGATACGATACTAGTATGCTATGCATTGTGTTGGAAACTGGTAGACCGACAGTTTAGAAAAAAAAATATTTCGATTCTAAAAAATTATAGCAGGGCCTGGTTCGATCCAGGGACCTCTGGTTTATGGGTCCAGCACGCTTCCGCTGTGCCACGCTGCTGCAGAAATAAATGCCAATTACATTGAAGTTTATTTTGAAACAAGATTTTAACTTACCCTGTCATTTTTGTTTTATTGATATTTACTTTTCGGTACCATTTATTAAAATAATTGAATAGTTGAATAGTTTAAAAACATATTTTAAGGTGAAGTGCAATGTTATATACACGGATAGTAAATCACCTACACCTTAGCAGTAAGTTGCATATTATTTTACTTATTATGATCGTCAGGGCATAGTTCACGCATTAAACATGACACAGGTCATGACCATGAACGTCACGATATTCTGATTTCCAAATTGATATATATATATATATAGAATTGATATATATATAAGATTACAATGGCGTCCGTCACTGATTGGTACTTGCTGATGTTCGCTGTGCTCGGTGTAATAACTCCAGTAGTTAACAGTCAATGTAAGTAAACTCACTTCATTTACAGTTGACTCCGTCTCTTGAGAAACTCATTGAAAGTTTCACACCACTACATACGTGTGTTTAACGTTAGTTGCAACATGGACCTTAGAAAACATGTTTTCTAAAGTCTAAGGTTGCAGCATCTCACGGTTATGTCTAGATATATAAAGTTTATGAATACGGAATAAAAGTGTCATATATTTTGTATTAATAATCATTACACGACGAATGTTATTGTATGTTGATATCGTACTCATGTGGTAAAATTCTTATGCTATGAAGTTCATTGTCGCACTCAAAGAGGTGGCGTACCCATTTTTTGCAGTGTATTTAGTTAGATATAGATATGTAATCAACCTGGTAATCAGAAACAAATATTCATTCACAGTCGTCGTATTCGACCACGTCGTATTCACTATGTTTTTATTTTATTTCATACACAAATCGACGAACAAACCGATCTGGCGAGAAACATAATAATAATTTACAATATGAGTTTCATATGAGGTATGCAAGGCTTTGCATGGCAGCTGTTTCGTTTTACTGTACCCCTGTAGATAATATGTTTTGTTCATGTTGTCTCACTGTAAGCTATACCTGTGATAAGTACAACTCATTTGGGTTAGAAATTCTTTAGAATAATGGGCACAATAACGCTTCTACTAACCACAATTTGAGTATCAAATTATGCATCGTGTCGTTGATATTCACTTCCCACCATCACCAGCTGCGGAAGAATGGATCAAGCAGGGCAAGGACGAACTTGAAAAATATCTTAAATTGGAACAAAATACCAATACTGCTAAAAACGTGATTTTGTTTCTTGGAGATGGTATGGGGATTGCAACAGTGACGTCAGCAAGAATATACAAAGGTCAGTTAGCAGGTCAGACTGGTGAAGAATTTGTTCTTGGCTTTGAAGGCTTGCCACGTGCTGGACTTATAAAGGTAAGCTTAAAATAATAAAAGTGTAACCCATGAAATCGAATCTACCAAGAAAATATCAAAATATCAGTAACGATAAAGTCACACAATGAACTATTTCTTGTGCTGTGTGCACAATTGATTCTAAATCTGTTACTACATATGGTTCTTCATAGTTTTTGTTTTCTTGCTTGTTTTACTGACTGGACAATTCTAGATGCCATTGCTTACCAAATCAATGTTGTAATATACATAGACATACAACACAGATTTCCAAGTGCCTGACTCTGCCGGAACAGCGACTGCGATATTGTCGGGGGTTAAAACCAACAGAGGCGTCATAGGGTATGATTATTCCGTGAAAAGAACCGACTGTGGGTCTGTGACAGAAGAAGCAAAATTAGAGAGTATATTTGATCTGGCAGTTAAAGAAGGTTCGTTTTGGGTCGATTCCATGTTTCATATATTCACTTGCTTCGTAAACATATTACGTAACACTGTACCATGGTCATCTTCATTTCTCTATAATGTACTAAGTTATCATGAAACTTCAGATTCATTAAACCGTTAACTCGTGTGGCGTCTCAATAGAACTAGACTTTTCCAATCTTTAGCCTAGCCTAACTGTATCGTAATGATTTCAGGTAAATCAACTGGTATAATCAGCACAAAATCCATCACCAATGCATCACCTGCCTCGGTATATGCACATACGCCAGAGAGAAACTGGGAAGCAATTGGTTTGGGAGGATGTCAAGATATTGCATCACAGTTCCTCGACAAGTCATTGGACTTTCAGGTAGATGGGATTCCGTCTACTTCGTCGCGGTCTTCTCTGTTGTCGACGTAAAGTGTGGCGTAATAAGTTACACGATTTCGAATCCCGCGTATCGTTCAATTCGCCAACCATCCACGGTCGTCCGTGAGGCGACGGCCGAATGAATGAATCTTGGTTGGCGAAGATGAATCCCGTACTGCGGGGCTATATACAACAAATGTCAAATATTGAATCATTACCGAAATTGTAATCATGTAAAACCATTCATTAAGAAGAGAAAATTTGCCTCATTAATTTTATAGTTGACAAAGTTGGTAATGTCAACACTCAATTCAAATAACTGTAATAACAATAATAGAACGTGTGGGAGAATTTTTTTTTAACACGCCCTTGCGAATTACGTGCGTGTATTTTGCCTTGAAAGGTTGTACTTGGTGGGGGAAGAAAATATATGCTACCTCTCTCGGAAACGGATCCAGAAAATGCGAACAGCAGAGGAAGGCGACTTGATAGACGCAATCTCATAGATGAGTGGATAGAAAGAATTCCTGATGGTGTACACGCAGAATACGTGTGGAATCAAGAACAGTTTGATAATGTTGATACAGATAGTACCGACTATTTATTAGGTGTGTTGCATTCGCTATTTGTGGAAATATACGATTTATTGCGCAAAAATAACCAGTACATTCTCTGTTTTAACTGTGTTTATAAGCCAATACCAAACTTTTAGAAAATGTATCATAACGATATACTAGATATACATTGTACTGGGATGCGAGACATTGGATATTCTCACTTTATGTTACAGGACTGTTTGCTTACGAGGAGATGCAGTTTGAATGTAGGAGACACAACGACACAGCTGGTGAACCAAGCATCTCTGAAATGGTTGACAAGGCCATTAAAATATTACAGAAGAATGAAAATGGCTATTTACTTTTCGTAGAGGGTTGGTATATTCATGAATGGTTTTTAATTTTAGAGGGTTTAATGTATTCAGTATTCTTCATTTATCACCGACCACATAGCCCCGTGTCAAATTGTAATGCCATCGTTTGTTTACAGGAGGACTAATTGACACCGCCCATCATGATAACTGGGCATATGGCGCCATCACAGATACTGTAGCCTTTGATGATGCAGTAGAAAAAGCTCTTGATATGGTGAACACTGAAGATACGCTGGTCATAGTAACTGCTGATCATGGTCACGTGAACACAGTGAACGGATATCCATACAGAGGAAATCCAATTTTGGGTGAGTTAGAGTTCATTGCAGGCATGATCACGCAAATCGACAGAAATATTATTAAAAAGCCGTGAATAATATCAATGTGTCCTCAGCTTCCATATTAGTAGCAACACGCATTAGTTATCATACAACAATGTATATAAAAACAACTGCTTTTTCTACTTCCTATGTTATTCGATTGTGTCCAGTGTAAGGAGGCAGCGTGCGATGAGAGAGCGCCACCAACGTTTAAAATGATATTTGAAATGTGTGAATTAATTACGGTTTTCAAGATTTTCAACAAGCAACATGTGCTACTGAACACGTTAATGATTTGAAATACGGAAATAAATATCAACTTCTTCTTTACGATATCTTGTCATAATATTATGTTTTCAGATTCGTGATTTTATAGGTTTACGAGTAACTGAAAAATGACGTAAGAAACATCACGAATCAATATTGCGAGATATATTTGTATTCATGTGTAATTTGATCTGAGTTGAATATTTAGACAGACATTTTTGAAAAATGCATGCGATCGTTGTGCAAATCATTTTAACAATGCCAATAAAAGTTAATTTCTAATTTGCTCTATCTATAAATATAAATGATTAAAATTTTAACTACTGGTACCTCACATGTAGATATAGGTACAAAGTATACTATATATATAACGTATGTTACTGACAGGTGTTACAAGTGATGTTCTGGAATCCTTTGATGGGTTGCCGTACACTACTATATCGTATGCCAATGGACCAGGCGCCGTAGCAGTAGCAGCGTCATACAGAATTAACGGAACAAGACCAGACATAAGTTTGCAAGATACAGGTATGTGTTACAGTTAGTACAACATAACATAACATAAACGCACTACTCCCGTTTGAACGATTATTAGAACTAAAATGTCACATTCTGAGATTGAGAGGTTCGAATATGTCTGATTCTGTGGAGCACTATAAACCACTACTCTATGTCATTATTTTTTATAATGCAAAACTTCGTTATTTGTTTTTTTTTCACAGAAGCGCAAAATTACATACAGCAAAGTCTTGTGCCTGCACACAGAGAATCGCATGGCGGTGAAGACGTATCGATTCACGCCGATGGACCATATTCACATTTATTCCAAGGCGTACATGAACAAACTTACATCGCACATGTCATCAAATATGCAGCTAGATTGGGTGAATACGCAACACATAGAAGCAACGGTTAGCATTGTCTTTCAGATTAATTTTTCCATTAATTAATTAATTAATAATAATAATAATTACATACATGCAGACTTAGCTGATTGACATTGTATAATTATGTATAATTAAGTATAATTATGTCTGCACGTTAAACAAATTGTTTTAATAATTTTTATATGCATGCAGTTAATGGCGTCACCAATATAAATATGAAAAACGTTTGGAGAATTATGACAAAAAATGACGCTGTACTGATCCACAATAGAACATGTTTGGAGTTACAGAAGTAGAGACAATTGTCACGTGGACAAGAATTGTGTAGAAAAGAAACATTTTCGCTTATCTGCATCATGTTCTCTTTAATGACGGCTGTTTTATTATAGGTGTCCCTGGACTACGTCTTCAATCATACTGGTACCTTGTCGTTGTAGTAATACTTATGCACTTAATTGAGACGGGTGCGTGAATATTATGAAGAGCGAAGGAGAGAAACTATTAAAATGAGTTTGAAAAAGTTGTACTTTATCTTTCTTAATTGCGCATACAATCTAGTGGATAATTAAACGTATAAGGAAGCATACTTTGTATTTTTTGTATCGTTGATATGGGCGATGACAGTTGTTTTTGTGAACTAAGGGGAAAATCACTATGTACGTAAACAATGTACATTCCGGAAGCACAGCCTCAGTTATTTTTTTTTTTTTTTTTTTTTTTGTAATAAAGGGTGGGTTCATTTCACTGTGTATAGTAACAGTATATCCCTATGGAGACAGTGAGTCGCCATGATTACGTCATCTCTTCTGACATTCAGGTTACATATCGCGCATGTTTCACTACAAACCAAACTACTCACTTATTCAATGGTGTCTCCAATCAATAGGAAAGATCCGATTGAACGGTTTCATATCCGTCTATCCCTCACTGCGCAAATATAATATGTAGAAGGTGTTAGCTGAAACCTTCAATATGCACTACCGTAATACGGGTTCTAAATATGTTCTAAAGTGTCGTTGTGGAAGTGTACTGTGGCGGTCTAACACAAACGTTTCACGTTGGTGGTGTATAATCCGTGAACACTCCAAACAATGATTATTATTACATATTTGATGTTATATTACACATGTAATTAAGGAAAGTTGTTTATCTGAACCTATTCCCCTGATTTACGTTCAGCGATTATATTCAAAGTTGCTGTGAAGTCGCTGTATCGTTTTCACACATTATTTGGTTTCAAAGATCCATTTGTTGAGGTTGTCAGAATAAATAACCGATTTTAAATTGTCAATTTTCATATTCTGACCAAATATAAGCGATATTTTAGTATGACCATGGAGGTACTAAATTACCTCCATGGTATGATCACCTTTCATTCATGATGGAATTATGTACTTTTCTGTCGACGTTGATCGATATGGTCATGGAGGTATGGTCATGGAGCAACAGTGGTGGTCGTTTCCATGCGGGTCATATATATATACTGACTGTTTGTACATCACCGTAAAGTGCTGACCTTGTCTAACCTCAGATAAGGAACACGATCATGTCGCAGCTACTATCTCGCGCGTAGGGGTTTGAACAAGTGTGGTTATGTCCTTGTTGCCTATAAGTATACATTTCATTTTGTTTGACTAATTGTTTTCTTATGTTATATCGTTTACAAAATGTATTAATACACGAAACAGGTAAGCCGGTTTCCAAAGACAGCGTTGGAACCCGGAAACCCAATCTAAGCAACTTCCTTAAAAAAATTACACTCCCATTGTAAAGATGTACGTGATAATGAAAACTATAATCGAAAAAGTATTTAAAAAAAAATAGTAATAATTAAATGAAATATATAAAATTAAAAACATTACACGCCGTACGATACATCAGATTTTAATCATTTGGCACCCCTTCCGTCCTTGCCCTTCCCCATCCTTGCTCCTATAAGATAAATATGTGCATGTATACATGCTGAAGTGCACATATGGTATTGCAGATATGACGTATTTTTTTGAAATATTTTCCATACCACGTATATATCATGATGTTATCCAAACATGGGTGAATATTTTATTATCAGTTCTAGCAACTAATAAGTCTGTATACCAGGTAACAATTATAGGGATCGTAGCAATGTTCCGTCTGTAAAGAATTCACATATAGAACGAGTACACAGAGAATCGGGATTTTACTGGGCGTCATTTAGAAATGGTATGGTTCAAGAGAGTCCATGTGTTATTGGTGGTGTATGCAGTGTGTGTGCGTGGGGGGGGGGGGAGGTAAACCAGTTTTCTCCACACACTGTCCAGTCACATGAAACGTCCATACACAAATACAGTCAGTATACAGACAATACATTACTACAGACACAACGAAAAAACACGTCTCCCAATGACGCGTAATATTATGCATTACCGTATAAGTTATTTAATGGGCGTTGGCCGTGCGCAATATGGGATCCGAGGTGACGTACACCACGCGTGTAAAATACACCATTTGTTTACGCAAACACGCGTCGCGCAAAGACTACCGCCCTTCAATGTCAATATTACAAATGAAGTGTGTATATTGCAATTATCTCTACAACTATCGAACGCCCAGTGCAAACTAATAGGCGTAATTTACGTCACTGAGAACAAAGTCCAAAACTTAGATGACACACTTCATTATATTATAGCACTTCATTCGTTGTGCTCTGGCACCATTTTACTCTGGAACAATGACATGCCGGTCCTTATTACTGCTACAGTCTTGACGTTAATTGGACTAGCTTGTCACAGGTATTGCCGTAAATCGAATGAAGATGAAGATGATACACATAGGTAAGGTACGACGAGCAGCTAGCTAGGTAACAGTGACGGTAGAATATAATTGCTGTATTACACTCGTGGTCCAACAGAATATATCGGTACAGTGGTTGAATATTCATCGTACGTTTTATTTTCCCCAGTTCTGCTTTTCTCTTACCTAGCAAATTATTGGATTAGTCGTATTATGTTTGCAATGCATACATATATACTGTTTGTAAAGTGGGCGTATGTACCTATGTTATTACATATCTATGTTGACTATATTGATTTCATCCTAGGTTAACACTATCATAACAGGATGTATGTTTTATTTTGAAATTTTCCTTCTGTCATTTTTTAAAAAGGCGGATAAACCTATGATATTTTTGTAACAAGTATTATTTGCCAAGGGCGTCAAGTTGTGTTGCGGTTTGATCTAAAACGGTAACAGTGATTTCATTGCCGAATTAGTTAAACATATTAAACGACCCCTCAGTTGTCAGTTAAGACCATACATAGTGCGTTAATTTATTTTAACATTGCGATGTACAAGTGGCGACCTTCTTACTGTTTTGCCCTGACATTAAATGAAATGATGACTGACATATTTCTTGCTCCAGTCTTTGTTTTCAACGGAATGGATCACTCTAAGTAGTTGTATAAATATGGATCAGTACATTGTAAGATTTATGTCATCAGTTCTAAAATTATTGCATTTTCTCTTGAAAAAATATGTTTGCTTATTATTTTGGATGACGTAATACGTTTTGTTGCTTTGCAGGCGTGTGAAATGAACAATAGCCCAATTGCTTTATCTGCGTCTTGTTAAATGCGCCTTTGTGAGTCATACGTCATATTTTGACAATATCATAAAATGTCATATTCGTATTCAAACAAAACAATGACTGATTATTTATGAAATGTTTAGTTCTGTGTTTATTCAAGCCTGGCGTTTCCTATTTACAGTGCATACACAATGTAATCCCCGTAAAGTGGGCGTATATACCTATATTATTACACAGTTATAATTATATTGATTTATTTTCATAAATATATAAATCCCTTGTGAAATTAACAGTGCTACGATATGCACCAATGCTCATTGCATCGGATCTATTTATTATCGCTTGATGTTAAACATTCTTGAGCTCCCGCTGAACTACTGTAAAATACCCTGTGTTTTTCTATAGTACCATGGTCATCCAATCTGATTAAAATAAGATCCTGGTTGGCTTTCACGAACAAAACCATTCTTGCAGCAAAATAATTGTAACGTCAAAAAATAATTAAAATAAATAATAAGTAAAGTAGTAAATATTTAAAATAAATAATAATTATAGTAATTATATAAAAAAAATTAAGCCAACCAGGATCTTATTTTAATCAGATTGCATGGTCATCATGTTCACCATATATCATAACAATAACATTAATAAATCGTGGTAACAAGGGCACACATGGGTGAAGGCGAGATCAATTTTGATAACATATTCATAATAGGCGAGAAGTCTGCGATTAATGTTTGGCTTACGTATATTTTTTAGCATAGTTGTGAAGACACGATCTCTTTACGGCACGCGTCCCCGAAGCGGAATTAAGCTATGGGGACGAGAATGTTCATTGCTTACCAATGAGTGGGCATTACCATATTGTGAAGAAATAAAAGAAAGTTTATAACATTCACATTTAGAGGTTTTTATGAAAAATAATTTTGAAAAATAAAAGTTTGTTTGCTGTCTCACCTATGTCCAAATTGCTGGTGATGACTGAACATATTGGTAATGTACTATCATGCTTTCTCGATGCAAACCATGCCCACTCAAACACGCACGGGAGTAACTGAAAGTGCCCAAGAACCTGCATCTATACCTTGAGTTTCCAACTGAGTGTCATTATATATAATCGACAGTAGACTCGAGCTCAAATCTTACTGGCAAATGGGTCAATCCCAACCATAGAACCACTAAGACACCGACTAAGAGTGTGCTGATGGTAGTGAATGGAAATCTCAATAAGGCCAAAATCAAATGACCCAGCTTCAATCACTACTGTTCTTGTTTGAGCAGGCATAACATACTAATTTTGATGAAAAACGCTCTCCAAGTTCACGTTGTATGCGACAAAATGAGTTGTCACATTCAACGAAACGCGCTTATGAGGCTTGCGATAATAATAATTCGAAATCTCGCGGGGGTAGATTACCCTAATTTGTTTGTGTTGGACGTCATCGATATCATCGGTTTATGACGTAGATTGTACTTGTTTATTTCGTATTTCCTGTTTTTGAAATGCATTCAACATATGTCATGCGACACCAAAAATACGCTTTTGTGTTGCGTGTGTGTGTGTTTTTTTTTTGTGTGTGTTATTTTTGAGATAATATATAACACATACGTTTTAATGTGTGGTCATGAAGTACAACGTTATGAGAAAGTAATACTTTTCATTCTGGCTAACCTAAAGATAACAAGATGACCCCCCCCCCAATCCCCTAGTCATGCCAGAGAAAGCGGTGACAAATTGGCTGATCGTAGCCCTGTACCAGTGTACGTTTGTTTATTGATAGCATGAATATTATTACCATTTGGCCAATCATGGTACCGAATGACAGTCCGTGTAAAGTCCAAATTCAATAGTTTGGCTCCTACTCGTTTTGCCTGCCACAACTCACTCGTCGTGCCGGTACTGTTTACTGACCATATTAGTTACCGTCAATTTTACAGCATGGGGGGCAGTGAACGTATGTACCTCGAGGACGGGGAACTGAAGAAGAAGAAGAACACAATAACTATCACCAAAACTGCGGCAATCTTTATCTGCGTCGTAATCATTCTCTTGTTAGTCGGAGTTGCAGTGTTATTCTATTTTGTTCCCAACTCATCGGAAGAATGTGAACCAGTGTCAGAAGAATGCAGCGAGCCACTATTCCGACTACCCGAGGAACCTGAGGAGCCAACTCCGACACGAAGAGAACCATTCGAGGAAAGGTTACCCAATTCTCTTTATCCCCTACACTACGATCTCACTGTAAAGATGTTCCTATACGAATATGAAACCAGTGAAATGGAGAGATTTACATTCGAAGGTCATGAGACTATCTACCTCCGCTGTGATGAATCCACGAACACTGTCAAGATGAACAGTAGATTCTTGAATGTTAACTTTGAACCAGGCATGATTAAGATCACAGAGAGTGACACAGGAAAGGAGATCGGTATAAAGTCTGGAGAATTAGACGAGATACACGAGCTTTTTGTTGTGGAAACTGTTGAAACTATGGAGGCAGGAAACAACTACACCCTGGAGATACTTGATTTTGGTGCTTTAATGGGGAACGCCGATGACGACCAGTATGGAATGTATTTTCAGTCTTATGAAATATACGGCGAAACTAGGTTAGTATACGCATTCGAATTTAAAACGGAACTGAAAATATTAATACATGTGGCACAATTGTCAACAAAACTGCCATCTATTTTGATTTTAAATGATTGTAACGTAATGGAAAATAAATATGCACAGTGCACAAGCATGTACACGTTCAGATATATTGTACATTTCAGTACCGGTCTGTGATGGCAAACAGTGATAACGCGCATATATAAATATCGCAGTCAGTACATTCACGTGATTTAGGTGTAACATTGTACAAAGTGCAATGAGCTTTTCCAAAATATATACACATACCCCAAATCATCATAAACCACGAGCTCGGTTCCCTTAGCTCTACATGTCGACTACGATCAAAAATCACTCTTTCAGCACTGCCCATGCCAAAATGATCATTACAGTTTAGAAACCATTAACCCCTCAAATCAATTAAACAAAATATATCACATGATCCTGGGTTCACACCACATTGTTCACAGAGGGAAATATTGAGGCCATTGTACGGTGCACACAATGGTGCCAACCCACAGATCATGGTCATTTTTCGGTGGACCATATATACCTGTCTGTTCTTATTTCTTTGCCTTCGACAACTCTTAGCCACTATGATGTTATAATATAGATACACATAAACGTGATTGAGAAGCAGATCTAAAGTAAAACAAAAATACTCAGGTCTATATAACGACCTAAGCTACCTTAAATTATAAACACATACAAACAAGTTAAACGCAGTTTACAACAGGGTCCAATTCACTTACAAACGTGTTCCGAATGCTCAGCGGGTAATGAAGTTATACCCGTTTTTTGTTTACACATGTTTGTTCTCGACTAAGAATAATGGTTTCGTCTACTCGGCCTTGTGACGATTATTTATCACTGCCTTATCGTTGTCATAAATAGTTCAGTTTATGAGTAATGTGGACAATTACTGAAGACGAGTAAATATACAAGGTTATTTATTATATATGGTATATGGCAAGGCATTATCAGAGCCACTCGTCACAATCGGTTAATTATTAACGCGTCATTCTGTCGCCTTGCTATCTGCATCAATACCTGACCAATGTTTCAGAAATGTCTTGATACTGATCAAACTATTGGTCATTGTTATACAATGCTTGAGTGAAGTAAGAAAATGCGGTGATGTACTCATTTTTCGAGAACAGCTGATTGCGAAGTTAATGTACGGGAAAGTGTCGCAAGCTACATTTAAAAAAAGGTGAAACATATTAGTTGGCTTGATGAACCAATCAAATCCTATAATACCGTTCAGATAGTTAGAGGAACCAATCAAATGTCTTGGTACATATTTATCCCATGATATCAAAAATTTTCATGAGATACTTATCGAGAAAAATGTGCAAATAATACCAAATGGACCGATAGAAAATTTACGTTTTACAGAACAGTAGTGCATCCTAAAACTTTGATGGCGGTCAAAATAATTCATTTTTTAAGTACAATCGTTTGCTGTAAGGAAAAATCGACGTACTTTTCTTTGATTTCTCTAGAATGGCAAAATACATACAATTAAGATATCAGTTTAGTATACCCAGGGTGCAATTGCGTCACATGTACGTACAAATAAGGAAATTCCTCACTGAATGGGTTAGATGTTTATGGGATAATTCAGTAATGTATACAAGGAAGTTGAAAATTAATTCCAATGTAATTCCCATCGGCCGTCCAAGCCGTGGGAATTACTGTTTCGGACAAATTATTATCAAATACTCACCTTTTAATTTCATTATTGAGAAGTGATTTTTTCTTACAGAAGAATATTATTATATGACATATAATTGATGATGAATGTAGTGTAGTGTACACACCCGCCATGATAGCGATGTGTTCTTTAGAGCGACTCAAATTCAAATGAGATAATACAACAAACATATATGGTAAAAAAATTATGGGGCTAAATTTGCCTCAACGCGAATAAAATAAAATGTCCATATTCATGGACAGGTTTTCCTATGAATATACTTTCGAAACACGTGTCTTACACCATGTGGGACGATTCATCAGGAATAACGCAAAAGATTGCCGCCGCAAGAACCACAAACATCACAATTGTACATATGATAGAGGCCAGTATTTGGTCGAAAAATCATGCACATTCTTATCAGCTGATTTAGTAGCATCGACGTCAACACGATAGCTGACACGCATCAATAGATAAAGCTTTAAATACCTACATTATCTGTATTGAAATATATCATAGGGTTACCAAACACAATGTCAATTGCCACTGTGCAAGTATTTCCCCACTTGCAAATGTATAAGTATTTCCCGATTTGCAAATGGGTTTTCGTGATGTCTGCTTCTATGCAATGCAGTAACCAGAGAGTAATTAGTATGTATGTGATGTTATATGAAGCTAGTTATACATTGCAGAATATATGAATTCAATGGAATCGAAAAAGCCTGTTTGTCATGTGATATGCAGTGGAGGGAGTAATCTTCATGTCCGATGGTGATTAGAGAAGCATATGACGCAATGTTTTCTTCGTTTTCAGATGGATATGTAACACTAAATTCACGCCAAACTACGCAAGGGAAGTCTTTCCATGCTTTGACGAACCACATTTCAGAGCAACATTTAATCTTTCCCTAATCCATCACAACAAACGCTGGGCGAAGTCCAACATGCCAATTTACGAGAGTGTCGACCTGGGCAATGATTGGAATGAAACGCGATTTGAGACGACCCCTAATATGGTGACGTACCTGCTTGTAATGGTGGTGGCTGATTTCGATTACATTGAAACCACGACAACAAATGGCTACCCGGTAAATAATACTCAATATAATATCATGTTTCAATGAGCATAACCAATCCGTCATCACAGTGACGTCACTTCCAGCTTGATTTTGCATATATTTACAAAATACGATTCGTATACAAAATTAACGACCATCCGATGAATATGTGACGTCATTAATTGTAATAATCTACTTAATAATGCAAAAACTGTTTCCCCGTCGTATTTTAAGTTGAGAGTTTGGGCCCGAGAAGATCGAATGGAACTGGGGCAATTTGCTTTGGAAGCTGGTAGCGAAATATTGACGGCATTTGAGACTCTGATTGGCGTGCCCTATGGACTTCCGAAATTAGGTGAGCACAATGGTGCTGTGTATTTTGTTGCTGGTGTTAAATTGTTAACCGCTTTCAGGGTGATCACAGTGCGTAAAACATACAGATTATGCGGTAAAAGGATGATGATCATCTTTATAGATCATGATGATATTACTTTTTTTTATCTTTGCTTTATTTTCACTTGTAAAGTGAATACATTGATTTATGTTTTACATTTGCATCCCTAATACAGACATGATTGCCATTCCTGATTACGCGGCAGGGGCGACTGAATTCTGGGGATGTGTATTGTACCGTGAGAATCGTCTGTTATACAACGCCACTGCACAGGACGCGTACGATCAGCAAAGTGTGGCAGCTATCGTGGCCCATGAATTAGCTCATATGGTAAATTCACTTTCAGCGTTTTACTAATCGTGTTGATTTCATTCAATGTGGGTACGCATCGTGACATTATCCTACAATATTTCATTCGCAGTTGATATTTCTCATCATCGGTTTATTTCTATTCATAGCAGATTTGTTTCTGTTGTTTCAGTGGTATGGTAATTACTTGACGTGTGATTGGTGGAGCCATATTTGGTTAAACGAAGGTTTTGCTAGTTTTCATGAATACGTGATTATGCAGGATCTGTATCCTGAATTAAAAATGGTACGTGTTGTCACGATAACTCACATCCCATCATCACGTGTCGTCTGATAAAATGTGTTAAATTGGGAGCCGTGAACTTGTTATGAATGGTACAACAATGTTATTCGTTCACAATTATAATTCATACTATAACGTTTGTTCAGTTTCTAGACCTTGATATGTAATAAGACATTAAGGTCAGTATATTTTACGCTTCAAATAACAAGTTGTGTAATCCTTTCGTTTACAGGATCATCAATTTTTGAATCTCGATCTAGAATCAGCGTTTCGTGTTGATGCTAGATCATCGTCTGCTGTGCCACAAATTAGACCAATCAGTGGATGGAGAGATGAAATAACTGGAGTTTTTGACACCACTACGTATAGTAGGGTAAGACAATGATCCAACTCACCAGTCAGTAACTAATCTACTTTGACATTGACAACACCTATACTATACTACGTATTTTCGCTTGTACAATTATAGTTAATAATTACATTTATGAATTAAGTGCAAACTTATCTAATAAATAAAGACATACTTAGTTGTTTTTAAATTAACCTTCTATCTAAACGAAATGACATCTCATTACAAACAAACAAACAAACAAACAAACAAACAAACAAACAAACATACGATGTTCAGGACATATCTCAGGGGAGTAACTTAAAATAACATGTCTTTCTCAGGGCGCCAGTATGTTACGACATCTGGCATCTTTCTTAGACATTGATGTCATACGTCGAGGCCTCAACAGCTACGTAACCAATCACTTGTATGAGAGCGTTGTATCAGACCAGCTTTGGCAAGAATTGACACAGGTAAATACGTAAAGGCATCGGCATTAACAAACTCATAATTATGTCATTGTACGACCTATGTTATTACGAGTAAACCACTGGCTAACACTGTCAGGTGGCGTTTAACATATCAATGTTATATTATTCCAATTTATTACACATTTTGTTAAGGCTGACAGAGGACACAGAAATACTAACGTTAAAATGGTAATGGACACGTGGACCTTGCAACATGGTCACCCGGTAGTAACTGTCACGAGAACAAGTGAAGCAAAGGCATCGGTTGTACAAGACCATTTTCTGAGTGATCCCAATGACGAACCAACTGACCAGTATGCAAATCTCGGGTAGGAAATATATTATATACGTGTACCTTGAACAGTATGGTTGCTTACATATTTGTTCCTTTGAAACAATCTTGAAAATATTAAAAGGTCCAGTTGTATACGAATATGCTGTGTTTTGTTGAATCGCGGCTATATCGGTTAAATATACATGATATCTATTCTAGATATTTATGGTACGTACCACTTACGTATACTCATGCCTCAGAAGCAGACTTCACAAACCCCAACTTTGAATGGTTGCAGAATACAGACGAACCGGGTAGGCATATATATTTTTATGTAATTTAAACTGGTTTACGCAATCGACAAACCGCAATACATACTTTGAGCTTCAATCAATCCCCTAGATATCGCGATATCACGAAGAGTATTGTAGTAATAGTCATACGCTCGTACATTCATGGATTCATCGATCAGATTGCAGCAGATTTCATCTTTTCGTGGAATACTGAGATGAACCGTGAAAATGAAATTCTGCGAGTGTGATAAATGTTCAAATCAAAAATGTCTATGAATGGTCACCATTCGTGTTTTTTTTTCATTTAATGCTGCAATTTGTCCGCTAATCTAGTACGAGCACAGCGGACGGTATGTCTCATACCTGAGCCCGACAAATCCTATAACCCTCGGACTTACTTTCAGCTATCACCTTGTTTATATGGCATACTAACCAGGTGTTGCATCGTTGATACACTGAACACCTGGAGTAATGGTTTACATCTATTTAAAACCGTGTATATTTCCATTGTGTTATCTATCTATCTTTCGTACAGGAGAGATTGATTTGAGAGATGCTGGATCTCTGGATTGGGTTGTAGTAAATATCAATCAAGTCGGATTCTATCGTGTTAACTATGATGATGAAAATTGGGAACGTCTGGCAGTAGCTCTGAAAGAAGATGTAGACTTTCAGGTAGGATAACTTAATATTTCTTCATTACTTCAATTTTTAGTATATTTATTATGTTTTAGAACAATTGTCTGAACAAATGAATACTATGAGGTTATTACGAGAATACCTCAAAGTATGCACGAAGACAGTACAGCTGAATTAGCGAACTTCTTCGTGAAAAGTCCGGTCAAACCCCGATGGCAGCCATGTTTTTTTTATTATTAGAGGACGCTTACGCGCGTAATCATTCCATATTTGGAATTCGCATTTCCTTATATGGTAGAATGAAAATACCCCGTAAAATACCGCAAAATTACGGCATGCTGTAACTTATGGCATTACGGTAACAGATGTACAATACTAAATATTATTCACTAACAGGTGTTTCCTGCTCCGACAAGGACCGCTCTGTTGGATGACTGTTTCAAGATATCACAAGCATTCTACACCGATAACGTGAACTGTCATCGACTCAGTGAATACATGTACAGAGAAACAGAGTATCCGACATGGGAGCTGATGATCGATAACTTACCGTTCACATATGATACTTTTATGAGAACTGCAGAATTTGGACAACTCGAGGTATTTATTCAACGTCATAATCTGTCCCGCCAAAATATTAGTGCAAACTATGCATATTTTATGTATTTTTTAATATTTACTTAATTTGTAACCAAATATTTCATAACTTGAAGGTCTTGATGAGATATTAATAATAGATTATACA